TAATTGGCTAGCGTGACCCATGGTTATCCGCAATCAGCTTCAAAGTTTAGATGGAATGTAATTACGTAGGCTGTCTCATATTTCTACAACTAATTCAAATGAAAACTAAAGTTAAAATAGTTAAAGAGTGTAATACCTATCCAGATGGACTCCGAACAGAAAAAGAGCTCTACCACATAGAAAATATTTGATTATTATATAGTAACCTGAAACTTAATATACTCATAAATTAATGTCTTATACACATTTATTTTCGCCATTAAAGATACAAACCTGCATTAACACAAAATAAGGTAATCCCAATTATCGGTAATTTTTGAAGTTAGGAATAATTTTTATTTTATCGGCTAAAGAAAAAAAAATTGTTCGAAATCACATATAGTTTTTATTTTAATTGAATTTTCTTTGAAGGATGCCTTCAAGTAAACTAGGATCTTTTTGTTCCTGTTGAAACAGTATCTTATAGGATATTTGAGCGGTTATTTTCCACCTGAAAGGTTTACCAACGGCAATACGGATTATCGGATTAAGGCCGCAGATGGGTGCAATTTCCCTTGTAAAAGGAATGTTCAGCGTGTTCCGCAATAATAACCGCCTTTAAACTTATATAATATGGCTTTATAGTTATTCTATTTTACGATGAATTTCTGACTTTGGTTGATGTTAGCTGTGCAAACACACGTCTTTTGTAATGCGTATAGCATAGGAGGGGAATAATTTGCCGGCGTCTATCTTTCCGTCCCAATACTATCTGTGCGTCTTCAAGGTAAGAGTGAAATAGGCTTTTGTTACGCTAAGCAGTGTGATTTATCATCTAGGGCTGCATCATCACTTCCCACCAGGTGGGATTGTGGTCAAGCACTGGCTTATAATAAGTTTAAAAAAAAACATGTGTTAGTGTGCGTAGCTGCGGGCGCTCGGGAGTAGCGCTCCCGCGGCCTACGCACACTAACACAATGCGCTTGTGCACGGCTAACAACAACCGAAGTCAGCACTTTATCGTGAAATAGAATAATCATACATATATAATAAATGAATTTATAATTTTTAGTAATTTTTTATATGTTTGTCCTTGTGCAATTTATGTTTGTAAACTGCCTCCACGACACAGGAGAAAATCCTAGTGTAAAGTTTTTTTTAAAAAAAAATAAAAAAATAATAATAAATAAATAAAATAAATTGTTAATCCTTTGCTGCTCTCTGCTGTGGTTCAGTTTGAAGGGCAAGAAATCCCGTATAACATTAGGCCACCACTGTGCGATTTAGAAGATGTTTTCTTCCTCGCACGACCTCCTTGTGGAATCGATTACCATCAGCGATTTTTCCGGACCGATACGACTTAGGGACCTTCAAGAAAAGAGCGTACTCCTTTTTAAAAGGCCGGCAACGCATCTGCGATTCCCCTGGTGTTGCAGTTGTTCATGGGCGGCGGTAGTCACTTACCATCAGGTGAGCCGCATGCTCGTTTGCCCCCTCTCCTATAAAAAAAAAGGCTTTGAGGCATTTTTTCCTAGTCCTCCTAGTTTATATTTACATCTGCGTCTGCTCTAAGCAATTATATTTACAATCGAATTGACAGTGTGTTTGTGTTCATTTTTATTTTTATAAAAAAGACCATTTTTTATAGGATAGGGTGACAAACGAGCACACAGTCCAACTGATGGTAAGTGGTTGCCGTGACCCATAGACATCTACATTTATCCTCAATAAAGAATCAAAATGCAGATGCGTCGTCACCCGTGAGGACTAAGATTGAATGCCTTTTCCAGTAAAGTGGCTCTCCGGCTCTCTATACTCACCATACGAAACACAGCAGTGTCAAGCTGCCATTTCATGCTGGTATTCTGTGAGAGCGTGGTCCTTCCCCGGTCGAGCCGACCCAATCGTGCTACAACTATACTACTAATATAGCTGCAGCATGACTCTACCACGTATAATTAATTTACATAACTTGTTGGTGTACAGCCATCTACCACGTAAAACTTAGTTTATGATACATGTATGTAAAACTTTTAATGAAGTTTCCAGTAACGTTGACTTGTACTTGTTTGATAACAGTGTTTCGATTTTACCTCGTTTTCGTTACCTCGAAATTAGAAACTTTTCGTATGCGAGAAGGAAAAACATCAAAAAACATTTCTTTGTAAACAATGTTAGCCGTTACTGTTTGTAGCAAAAATATATAAATTATCTGGGTTAGTAACGCGAGAGCAAGCGACGTACAGTTGACCGTGTGCAAAACCCCGTATAATCCAATAGTTTTTCCGTGATGAGCGCACAACTGCAAGCCTCTATCGTTTTATTTATATAGATTATCCCAAATTTAATATGATTTATGGGCAACAACGTGTTTGCCTACCGATTGACCCTTACAAATGTGTCCGTGCGTGGTAAAATCAGTTAAAATGATGCATTACCACGCATTTTGAATAAAAAGGATATAAAGGATGTAATTATTGAGATTTCTTTAATTAAATTTTCTTCACCATTTGCCTATATTACTTATTCTGAACCTTCTCTGTAAATTTTGCCGGTTATTGTAAAATAACCCATATAAACCAACATATTATAACATGTATACATCTAAGTAAAACTGAAGTGTTTGTCTGTAATATTGAAATAACTGGCTTCTATTAAGCTTAGGGGGTTATTTTCATGCTACTAAGACATAAATAACCATTTAAAAAATTGTCTGTTTGCCCAGGATAATTTTTGGATCGCGATGAAACTACGAACAGAAAGCAATATTTAAAAAAAAAACAAATCGATAAAATACACTACGTATCTTTGGTTTTCTTAAAACTAAATAACGTCACATTAACGCATTACGCTTGTATTTAATAAGATTGCAAATAAATAATATATAAACGTAAAATTAAATTAATTTTAAGTTTATATTGTAACCGGATCCGTATAGTAAAGTAAAAGTAAAGTTACAACCTAATTGGTGGGCACAGGCCTCTCATTTCTGAGAGGGCTATGGTTCGTCGTGCTGGTCCAGCGCGAGTTGGCGAACTTTACATATCCTCAAAATATTTTGTCTCAGATATCTCGGCAGTAACTATAATGCTTTACATAAGCTCTACTATAATTATTATAATACTCTCATTTTTTAAAGTAAACGAAATTATTATAACATTTTTCATATTTGAAAGGTAAAGCAAAGCCTATATTTATATGCTCCACTGCTGGACATATGCCTCCTATCATTTCAGAGAAAAGAAATATCCCCCAATGCGTGTTGGCGGACATCACATTCACATGCTTTCAAAATATTTTTTTTTATTTTCTCAGACGAGGGTTTTTCATCACAATGTTTTCCTTCACTGCAGAAAACGTGGCCAAATCATTGCCGATGGGAATCGAACCCGGGATACTAGGGTATTGCAAAATTTACCACGAGTACGTAATTCATGAGTAGCTCTCGATTCTTCATTTTAAATCTTTTTATTTGAACAAATATTATATTGTTAGATGAAAAATATCACCGTGTTTTTTGTATTATGTAACATAAAGTTTATCTTCCGTGTAATTCTAGTACTGTTATCATGTAAAAGTTTTGTTAAAGCCGTTTTGTTAAATTGCTTGTTGTACGCTACGGGCATGACATGTACTGTATAAGGTACTGGCACAATGGAACAGTGATACAATATTTTTTTTTATAGAATAAGGTTGACAAACGAGCACACAGTCCACCTGATGGTAAGTGGTTGCTGTGGCCCATAGACATGTACATCTATCTACGTTTGCGAATTAAAATGCAGATGCGTTGTCAGCCGTGAGGACTAAGATGGAATGCCTCTTTTCCAGTAAAATGGGTCTCCGGTTCTCTACACTCACATTAAGCTGCTATTTTACGCTGGTATTCTGTGAGAGCGTGGTCCTACCCCGGTTGAGCTGACTCATTCGTGCTACAACTATACTATTAATATAGCTGCAGCATGGCTCTACCACGTAAAAACGTAAAAACAATATAATAGAATGGAATAGTTTTATTCGTTATAGATTACAAGAATCATTATTGAAAGTCATTTAAGCTTTATCAGTTGTTCGAAAACAACCCCTGTTCTGGGAAAAACCAGTAAGGAATCCACCGCGATTTTTTTAAAACATTAATTTGCAATAAAATATTTTAAACATTTAGAAACAGGATGGTAGCACAGTTTAAAGAGAATGGTTACGATCACTTCATTTAGATCTGCCCCACATTTGGCTTTTCTTTTGCTTTAAGGTGTTACCACACCAATCGACCGATTGTCGGACGCTGATCAATGACATCGATCGATGTCGATCGATTGGTGTGGTAGCTTAAGCTGATCGACGGATACTGGTCGATAAAACGTTGTCCAATCTTCGATCGACAATTATTCGATGTGTTTGTGAGCTCATCAACAATATCTTTCAAAATGTATTCGGAAGGGGACGCGTTATTGATGGCCAGTACGATCTTGCTCGTATTATTATTACAGAAACGCAAACGCAGAAGACTCTGGATGTGACTGTTTTTTTAAGACCAGAGATAGCTTATTTCATCTAGACGACAATTTAAATAGCGGTCGGTGGAGCGGGTCGGGTTCTCAAATAATCGAGCAGCTCGATCGACGTCGACTAATCCATTCTACCATCGAACGATGCCACCGATCGATCGGTGTGATAGAAACTATCGATCGACGTCGACTATCCATTCCACATTCCATTGTTCGACGATCGATTGATTGGTGTGTTAACACCCTTACTTTCAGGTGGATGTTATAAATGGTTCTCAAACTTTTAATGTTTTCATGAAAGGTACTTAGAAAAGGAGCACTATCTCTGCTGGTATCTATTTACTGGACAGATTACTATTAAGTTTATTAAGTATATTTTGAAATGAAAATTTTAAGGCTTATTTTTAAAATATTTTTCTATTTTGCCCTATTTACAAAAGGTCTAAAACGATTTAAGGAAAGACTTTAATATATTTTTTATTATACAATGGAAATTAATCTTTCCAGAAAATCATGAGGATTGTTCAGTGCCCTGACAACGGCAACGTAGCAGCTGCAAACAAAAACGGGGTCGCATCGCATAGAAACGCCGACAATAGAACGTGGCATATTTTGAACAACACGACTCATCTTCAAAATACTGATATAAGTCACGACAGTCACAATTTCAATTGCAACAACGTTTACAACTTAATAAGCAATAAAGACATTACAGAGGTTAACACGCTGCCAAGTCCTGAAGAACTACGTCACACTTCTGACGTCACTGTCGAGACAGGAGTATGTAACAGACAATACAGAATCAATAATCAAAGCAATAAGTTCACAAGCTCAAATAAGAAATCTAAAACTGCAAAAGTGGACAGCAATCAAGAAAATATTTTGGATGATTGTGAAAGTTTTGTCGGTGAGTACTCATTAATATTTGACACTTAGTTACACAGTTACACACACATAAAAAATACATTCAATATTTAAACTATAGATAAAACTAGGAGTAAATTTATTACGTTAAAATCCTGTTCTACCAAAAATTTATTCTAACATTCTGAAAAATAATAATTTTAGAGTTCAAAAAACTTACACAACACGCATTGATCACTAGCTGTAATAAGCCTAGTGAGAATATTAGATCATGGTCATGAAATTATTGTATTGTCATCTGCTCTTAATACGAATGCAAAAGTTTAGATGATTCAGACGTCTGGAATTGGATGAAAACTTACAAAATAAGAATAATTATGCATCTAAGAAATTTCATTTTTATTTCATACGTAGATTAATTTATTTTTATTTCAAAAAATGTGAAATTCATTAAAATAAAGTCTTAATCTAAAAAAAGTCTGTAATAATAGGTTCCTGAACAAGGGTAAACCTGTAATAACAATATTATTAATATTTATTATTTTTATTTATATATTTATACAGCCCAAGCTGATGAGAAAACTATAAATAACCTATAAATATTTTGTATTAACAGTGAGCTAAACAATGTTCAAGAAAAGATATACAAATATTTTCTGTTGGACCCCAAACTAGGATACACCTGTATCTTGGGCTCAAATGATGTATCTCAGCTATATATTTTTTATAGAAATAAGGTAACAAACGAGCACACATCAGGTGGATACTGTGGCTCATAGACATCTACATTTATCATCGATTAAGGATCAAAATACAGATGCGTTGTCACCCCTGAGGACTAAGATGGAATGCCTCATTTCCAGTAAAAAGGGGTCTCCGCTTCTCCACACTCGCCATTTTATGCTGGTATTCTATCAGAGCGTGGTCCTACCCCGGTCGAGCTAACACATTCATGCTACAAATTTATTAGCTACCACAGATACAACGTGGCTCTACCACGTAAAGTATACTGCTACTGTGTTGTGTACTGTGCTACACTATCAAAACTTTTCTGTTTCGTAATTAATTATCAACTAGTTAGGGTTAATTTCATTAAAATATCTAATGATAAATTAACTTAAAATAATCAGCAACTTTTCCATATCATCGTATGACTAATTTTATAACCATGTACGAATTACATTTTTACAATCTGCCACTTTTAGATACATGTACAAAATTACATTAATTGATTACACAGAAAAGGGCTAAAGAAACTAAAATATCTATGCATAAAAGAATACCTTATTCTAATGTTAGTTAAACTTACTTTATCTTTGCAACTTTTATCAGTGATCTCTTTCCTGTAGGGCAATTTTGAGTGCTATTTTAGTACGTACTCATAACGAATAATTGGCGAACTGAGAGAAGATTACGAGATTTGTATAAGATATAAGAGAGGGTCGGGTATAAGATCGGTGGGATTGTTGCTACTTTCAGCTTTTTGAGCTCGTTCCAGTGTTTAAATCATATCGTCTAGTGACTGTTCTTCTATATTTTGTTTTTCCACATTGCCTACTCTATAGACTTTACATAGTGCACAAGGTGCATGGAAATATCATTATCATCACCACCATCGTCATTACAGCCCTTCACAAGTTCACTGCTGCACCTGCACGCAGGCCTCCCCCAAGGAATGCCACAAAGCACGGTCCTGAGCCAATTGCATCCATCGATTTCCTGCATCTCTTATAAGGTGGTCACTCCATTTAGTGGGTAATGTAGTATGCATAAAACAAACAATAACTTACGATGATTGAAAGTAAGTGGATGCTGCGGCCCATAGACCACAACTAGTGATAATGTAATCTACTACTATCAACCGCGTTGAAGACATTGAATATGTTAAGCAACTAGTAGAATAAATACTTCATTGGCTGAAATAGTGTCACAAATGGTCTTGCAAACATAGAAGCTTGTCCCATCCTTTCCATGCCGAATGTAACTGCACTAGCCACTATGATATCAGTTGGAGTACTACTAGTTGCTTGTTTGCTATTAAAGTGTTATGAAAAATTAAGTTTATAATTCAATTAAAAATATAACTTATTTTTCAGTTCCTACAAATGTATATACAGACACAATACCAGTTGAAGAAAACCAAGTATTTGAGCAGTCAGAGACAGATGAGATGTCTGAAAACGTTCTACACCCTGTACCAAGAGGCATTGTGAACCCTAATTATCCTGGTTTTCAACACTTAGCACATACTTTACAGGTAAAATATCACTTACTTTGAGAAACCCGTCAAGTGTAAATACGTAATCACTACATAAGAGAAGCCATAGAAATTTATTACAACACACATCAATCGAACTTCTCTAAACCTACAGTAAATACGTAGGTACTGTGAATTCTAGCAGCTTAAATTGCCTACAAAATATTTAATATTAAGGTGCCTAAGAGTATTATAATTTTTAGACTTTTCTATTAATAAAAAAATATATGTTTATGTAGGCAGTATTTTAGAAACTCAAAATACTATAAATAACAATACTACATAATATACTTGTGAGGTCATAAGTTCTGTCAAAAACTTTTTATAAAATTAATGATACACTTTTTGATAATTGTATAAAAATTATATATGAAATGAAAGGCAATTTAATTTAGAATACAATTTTATTTACATTATTCAAAATGTCCTCCCCTATTTTGAATACATGCCCTTAATCGCCGCGGCCAATCATCAATCGCAGCACGCACATTCAAATCTATTTCTGCCGCTGCTTTAGCCAAAGATGCTCGGAGAGATTCCAAATTCTGATGAGCTTTAGCGCAGACTTTCTCCTCCAAATGTTGCCATAACTTGTTATCCTGTGGGTTTAAATCTGGACTAGAAGAGGTCCAGCCTTAATGTCCGATAAAGTCAATTCCATGGGCGGTCAACCAGTTTTGCGTGCTTCGTGACTACGGTATTTTGGTACACCTCGGCACTGGGTTTTACACCTTTTTTACAGAAAAACACCTCAGTTAAGCCTGAATACGAGACCCCAAGCCAAACCAAGAGTGACGAAGGATAATGTCCTCGTTGAACCCTCGGAATACGCGTGCTGGCTTCTTCACTGCTGTGAGCATACACATTATCAATTTGTTTATTATAACTTTCTTCGATGTTAAAAATTTTTTTCATTCGAAAACAAAATTTCTCGGTATATTTTTCCCGCGTACCGCCGTAACAAAGCGCGGGATCTATCCAGCCTATTTTTTTTCAAACGCTCGTTCATAAAATGTCCGGCCTTCTTACGATAAGCTCGTAGTCCTAGGTCTTCATTGATCACCAGAACCAACACGTATTGCTGGGCCTAGTGCGACCTGTATAGATAACATTTTTACAGATGTTAAGCCCTTGCATAAATCAATTATTCAAAATTTAAGTTCAGATCACTGTGGACAGTTAGTATCACTACCTTACATACACAAAAAACAGAAATATAAGAAAGTTGTGTTTGTTCCAATAAACGAACATCGCTTGGAGAGGTTTAGAAGTAAAATAATAAAAAGACTTCCATCACTTTCGTTTAAAAATAGTGCTAATTATTTGTATGCTACATTATTTGAAATTATACGTTGTGAATTTAGTAGAATATTTACTTCTAAAACTTTATCTTTTAACAGTCGCAAATCATTTAATGAATGGGCGACAGTAGGAATTTATAAAAGTAGGCGAAGGTTACGAGCTTTATGATGAAAGATCATATAATAGTAGTGTTATATTTAGAGATTATGTAGAAACATATTCTAAAATATTTAAAAAAGTGTGCTCCACTGCTAAGGCTTTACATTTAAGCAACAAAATTAAAACTGCATCCAACAAAATTAAAATGACCTGGAGAATAATAAATAGTGAAACGGGCAAGGTCAAACCGCGCAACTCGGGTTTTCAATTGAATATTAACAATAACTTAACGCGATATGATCAAGAAGTTGCTATGGCTTTTGAGAAACATTTTACTGATGTTCCTTTTTTGACAACAAAATCATTAAATTCTTCTCCTACTGTCGCCGAATCATTGCTCAAACAAAATGTAAAGGCTTGTTCAAATACTTTTAAATTCCATAGGGTACTGCCAAAAGATATCGTTAAATATTTTAAAACTATTGATGTTAAGAAAACGGCAGACTTATGGGGGATTTCCGTTAAAGTTATTTTATCTATAATAGATACATTAGCACCTTATCTAGCCACTATATTTAATATAAGCGTCGAATCTGGTGTGTTTCCTGATTTAATGAAACATAGTAAAGTCATAAGTATATTTAAATCTGGTAGTACATTAGACCCCGCCAATTTTAGACCAATTTTTGTACTACCAACATTAAGTAAAATTTTTGAAAAAATTATTTTAGATCAGATGTTAAGTTTCTTTAATATTAATAAATTGCTACATAATAATCAATTCGGTTTTACAAGGGGTCGCTCGACAACTGACGCTGGAGTTGAGCTTATTAAACATATTTTTTGTGCATGGGAGAATTCAGAGGATGCTTTAGGTATATTTTGTGACCTTTCCAAGGCCTTAGACTGTGTTCACCATGAGACATTAATCAGGAAGCTACAGTACTATGGTGTCAAGAATACAGCGCTTAAACTTATTATTTCATATTTAACTAATAGAAAACAGAAGGTTATTATCAATGATAAAAGTTCTTCCGGGTCACCTGTACTAATGGCTGATCCTCAGGGCTCGATTCTCGGCCCATTCCTGTTTCTGGTGTATATTAATGACTTACCTCACCTTGTAGGGGATAGTCATGATATAGTATTATTTGCTGATGATACTTCCTTGATTTTTAAACTTAAACGTCAATCATTTAAATGTGACGAAGTGAATAATGCTATATCAAAATTAGTGCATTGGTTTAACGTTAATAATCTGCATTTGAACGGAAATAAAACTAATTGTGTTAAATTTACAACAACGAATGTTCAAAATCTGAATACCAATGTGTTTTTAAATGGGGAGGAATTGAGCCCTGTTGTATCCACTGCTTTTCTTGGCATCACTCTTGACGCAAAGCTCCAGTGGGGCCCCATATATCCAAATTAGCAAGCAGACTAAGTTCTGCAGCCTATGCTGTAAAAAAGATTAGAGGTCTCACTAGTGTCGAGACAGCTAGATTAGTTTATTTTAGTTATTTCCATAGCATAATGTCTTATGGGATTTTGCTATGGAGAAATGCGGCTGATTCAGAAACTATTTTTGTTTTACAGAAGAGGGCCATTAGAGCTATTTACAATCTAAAACCGAGAGAGTCTCTTAGAGATAAATTTAAAGAAATTAATATATTAACTTTGGCCTCTCAGTATGTTTACGAAAATTTAATGTATGTTCACAAAAACAAAGATAGTTTTAGTAAAAGAAGTGATATACATTCTGTAAACACTAGGAACAAACACAAGCTAGTGATACCAGTTTCTCGACTCCACAGAGTCAGTAATTCATTCTTGGGGCAATGTATACGCTATTACAACAAGGTCCCGGAAAGTGTACAGGTTCTCTCTATTATCAAGTTTAAATGTTTTATTAAGCTGAAACTGTATAAAAAGGGTTATTATAGTATAAATGAATACATGGTTGATAATAACCCCTGGGAATGAGGTGATCGCTTCCAAGCAGTTTCTAAAATAAATTTTGTAAATAGTTCGTAATCATTTATATTGTAAAATTTATTTAAAAAAAAAGTCCCGCTGGGTTTCTTGCTGGTTCTTCCCAGGACAGAGGGTTTTTTTCGAACCAGTGGTAAAGTAAAAAATGACTTTCAATAAGAATTACACATGTAATGTATATTGAATAAAAAATATTCTATTCTATTCTATTCTCACTCTTTTGACCGTGGTTCTGTTTACGCCCATCTGAAGAGCTAGGATTTTTTGTTTACGAACAGGATTTCGGTGGATTCGCGCCTTCACTGCTTTGATGATCGCGCGTGCCCTAACTGTACGAGGTCGGCCGGTCCTCTTAAGATCTTCGAAGTATAAATCTTCAGTGAATCGTTTCATAGTGCGATAAACAAATTGTAGCGTTATTTTCAATTTTTGTAAAATATTATAATATAATATTATAATATATATATATATATATATATATATATATATATATATATATATATATATATATATATATATATATATATAGATATATATATAATGTATATTATTATTATATAAAAGAGATTTTCCTTTTGCCGCATAACCACAGCGGTGCAACGCGATAACCGCTACTCTATCTTCTTTCTTCGAGCACTCCATATTAGAAAATGAATGAAAACTAATGTCTTTTTTATTTTCGGCAAGCGCAAACGTTATATTTTTAAAATTGGTGAAGTTCATCTAGTCAGTATTCAAAAATTTTAAATAGTAAGGTTTTGACAGAACTTCTGACCCGATAAAGTATATTAGTTTCATCATCATCATCATCATTGCAGCCCTTCACAAGTCCACCGCTGAACATAGGCCTCCCCCAACGAACGCCACAAAGCACGGTCCTGAGCCACCTGCATCCATCGACTTCCTGCATATCTTACCAGGTCGTCATTCGATCTAGTGGGGGGACGCCCAATATTTCGCCTGCCGGTACGAGGCTGCCACTCGAGAACCTTTCTTCCCCATCGGTTGTCGGTTCTTCGAGCTATATGGCCGGCCCATTGCCACTTCAGCTTACTAATCCGTCGGGCTATGACGGTCACTCTGGTTCTACTGCGGATATCTTCATTTCTGAGTTTATCACGCAGAGGAACTCCGAGCATAGGCCTCTTCTCCATAGCTCGCTGAGCGACCTTGAGCTTCCTCATCCGGCCAGCAGTGAAGGACCACGTCTCAGTTCCGTATGTCATCACTGGCAACACGCACTGGGTGTACAGTCTCGTTTTCAAGTTTTGAGGTATACCTGACGAGAAGATGTGCCGTAATTTCCCGAACGCTGCCCAACCGAGTTGAATCCGTCGATTGACCTCTCGGTCGAAGTTGGACTTACCTAGTCGGACTATTTGTCCCAGGTAAACATACTCGTCAACAACTTCGAGCTTAGTGTTCCCAACAACTACCGGCATAGGTGTGACATGGACATTAAACATGATCTTTGTTTTGTCCATGTTCATCTTAAGACCTATCCGTTACTCATGGGGGGTATATTGCCATAGTTGCCACGCTTGGCGAGCGGGTTGGCAACCGCAGTTTTGAATCGATACATCAGCTTACAATTCGAATCGATTTAAAAGATCGATCTTTTTCGGAAAGAATTGACATCGCTACTGACAATGACAATACAAAATAGCGTCAGTTTTACGGTAGCAATTGACATAAGTATTGCAAAAGTAGTTGATTTTCAATTTTTTTTTTCTCAAAAATTACGTGTCTCCGAACGTTTAAACTTTGCGTGTGTGCTTATAATAATGTAACATTTCTGTAAAAAAAAATATCAACCCCCAACTCGACGGACGTCAATGGAAAGTCATACCCAGACTACTTTTATTTTAGAAAAATAATTAGAGTTCTGCGCAAAAAAATTATAACTAGCGAAGTCGCGGGTAACAGCTAGTTCAAAATATTATCAGAAATTATCATCTTTATAGTATACAAGCTATTCCAGCTGACGTTGTTTGCTGTATTTTTCGGTAGGCGGTGAGTTACACTCTGACTTGGCTTCGTACTTTTTATATAAAATTTATTAACAATTTGACACCAGCGCCACCCATCGGATCCTAGCATAGCTATGACGTACAGACGTGTGAACGGTTATATATATAAAGTTTACCTTAGAGCAGATAAATGCGCAGAGAAATCACAAATGAGACGTTAATGAAATCAAAAGAAAGTCAGGGTGATTGCTTTTCTTTACCTACCTGTATCTAATATGATCTATGTATGTTATTTATAGTATTATGACTTTCAAACAGTTAAAATTAAATAAATTTTCATCAGCTTTCTACTGTTCCTGGTTGAAGCAAACTTTTCTTTGAAAAAAAAAAATGTTTATTATAATTTATATAAATCAAATTAATTGTCTGTCACAGGATTATTCTTCGAACATCGAAGCATTTTACCAATCAGAAAATGAAATGACAGACGATGATTTGGAAGTTGATACGGGTGAAGAAAATTATCAATTTGAAAAAAATAAGAATGACATAAACTTTAATAACAATAATAGCGTTGATTTCAATAAAAAAGAAAATAAGTCTATAAGCGATTTTAAAACGAAAACTAATGAAACGCCAAACGATATTCCAGATCTTTTAAAGACCATATCTAATAATAACAACAATGAAACTACAAGTTATGACTGCTCGTGTACCGACATTGAAAACAATTTTCATACGAAAGATATAATTGGCGATTTCAATAAGGAAATTGAAGATGAAATAAAACAACTCCTTAACTACAATATTAATATTCAAGACGATCTTGAAGAGTTAAGAAAAGATATTAAAGATACGTTTGCAAAACCGATAGAAAATACAATAAATAATATCAGTGATGTTGTAAATCATGTCATAAAAAAACTTGTTGAAACACAAAATGATTCCGGTGAAAATAATGACCATTATCTGACTTCTGCCATAAATAATAAGCAAGAAACCGAGGAGCTTAATGATATAAATAAAGATAATGAAACAAATACAAGAACTGAAATGAATTTAAGCAGGCCTACATTTTTATTAATAGATAATCATCCTAATAATAAAATAAAAGATGCCATTTTATCTGACGGCAAAGACGAAATCAATATTTATGAAAACGAATATGACACAGAAGCATTAAGTCATAATGTAGAAAATACTATAAAACAATTAAGTACAGAATTAAGGAAAATAATACCAAAATTAAATGAAATGCGTGAACGCGATCGAATGTGGATGGGAAACGTAGAGGAATGTTCGAAAATTATAGATAGGAATTCTAACGAAATAAACAATTTAGCCGAGTATTCTGATTTGACTAAAATGTCAAATCCATTATGCCATACAGATAATATCAGACATAACCAACAGGCCTTTTATTCTACGAATAAATTTAGGAAAAACTTCACTTTACAAAGGTAATTTAATAAAGCCGAATAGCTAATAGTACAGTCCGTACGGATAAAGAATGAGATTAGAAATGGCGGCTTATCGAGCCATCAACATGCACAGTGAGTATAGATAGCGATAGTGTGCGAGCGAGAAGTGAATAGAGGCGATGCCATTTTCAATCCCAATCTTTAATTGCATGGGTAGTAAATGCTAATCTAGTAAATGTAAAGTATTATCGAATAAAACTAATTTTACGGATTTCATCTCATTTAATTACATTTATTTGGACATCAAAAGTGACCATAGTTTCATTGTCAACAAGATAAGTCAAAGATAGTCAAAGGTCAAGGTACGTTTTATATTTTGCTGAAAAATTGGAAGGAATACTTTGTGTGTGCTCACGTATATCTTCTCAGCGGGGGGACCATATTTGCAAAGTGTTGAGTTAATTTATACGTTGGTGAATGGATCTGACTTACTATTAGACGTAGTGGAGCTTTCGGTTTGGCTACATCTTAAAGCGCGCTTCTATAAGAAAACTGTGTATTTACCATCCGATAAATGTAATATACCAAAAATGATTCGTGAGGCTATTGGAATAAAAAAAAATCGTGATTTCAATAGAGCACGTGGCTACATGCATCTTAGAGTTAGCCTGCTTATAACTACTCTAAGGGCTATCTGCTTCGGATTCCCATAATTACTAAAATCAAATTTAAACCCAAGCATATCATTGCAAGATTTCAAAGACACTGTAAGTTTATTCTGTGTAGATCGGATAAAAAAGCATATAATTAAAAGCTGAAGGTAGCCCGGGTTGACTAAGAAATCAGGATGTAATATACTTCAGTACCCCGTGTCCATGCGTGTTGCAAAGCACCCAGAATTTTGGAAATCAAGAATAAGTAGTAAAATCCGTAAGATTAGTTTTATTCAATGTGAAATATTCGCGTGAATACAAGAAATTATTAAGTATTTATTAATTTTATTCCTAAAAACTATATCAAGTTTTCTTTTATTCGAAAACTTGACTTCAAAATTATAACAGAGATTACTGATATATATCTGCTACGACTAAAAGGCGAAGTGCTAACATTAAAGTAGCTACAGAGAAACATCTAGTTTTGGCCATGAATAAATCGAATACACCTAAGTTTAACCTTTAGTAGCCGGCTAAACTTAGGTGTATCCGCACTTAGGCGCTAAAAATGAGACTGCCGTTGGTATAATGATCCTAAATGCGACTGCTGAGCATGTGGTTCTAGGTTCAAATACCGGGTCGGGCCAAAAAAATTAGTTGTAAAGCCATTAGCCCTGCGCCTTATCTCTCTCCGGTCATGTCGGAATGCCGTCTCATTGGACAAACAGAGTGATGGAATAGAGAGTGCACCTGTGCGTGCGTATATACACTCGTACACTGTTATTATAAAATCCTGTCCTGTGCAGATGGCTTGTCCCTGTTGATACTGGCCGCCATGACCTTAATTCGGTCTGGAGGACATTATTATTAAAACTGTTAAAATAATATAAATTAAAAATATAAGTTTAGCTTTATTATATAATTTACCTTTTGCTGTGTGGCAGCGACTTAGAATACTGCCACTCCCTCTCATCCCGTGGATGTCGTACGAGCCGACAGAGGGAAACGCCATTCAAAAAAAAAAAAGAGACCTTTAGGCTTCCGACGGATGGTGGCATAACCATCCCAGTCATCGTCAGACCAAAATGCCCAGGCCTGTGATGGGCAGCAACATTAAAGGTGCGATGTGTCTGGCACTGCGATCGCCAACTTTGCCCATCGCTTGCCCAGCGTAGCGATTAAGGGCAAACCCTCCCATGAACAGCACCAAAAAAACACGGCCCCCAGTTCGCGGTCGCTCCATTATCCCTGACCATGGCAACGGTGGGGCAGAGGGTGCAAATATTCTCCGGGAGAGGACAGGTTACCGCCAAAAACTGGACTTGGCGACGTATAATGGACGGACTCTGTGGCAAGACTTAACATTCTGCGACATTTACGAACTGGAAGCTGAGCTGGAAAATATAAAATGGCATATTGTTCGGTTAAGTGAAGTCCGAATAGAGAGAGAGGATACACTTACCCTGCAATCCTGCCATCTGCTCTACTTTCGGTAGGGAGACGGTCTTTCCCAAGGCGGAGTAGGTTTCATCGTTCACAGGATCCTCACTAACAACATTGTAGAAATCTCCAGTGTGTTGACACGGGTAGCATACCTTGTACTGAAGTTATTAAAGAGATACTCTCTGAAGATCGTATAAGTTTATGCCCCGACCTCGGCACATTCGGATGATGAAATTGAAACAGTTTATGAAGATATTTCTACGGCCTTACATAACACCACTAAGGCCCACTACAATGTTTTTATGGGGGCTTTTAATGCCAAGGTGGGTAAGCACACGGGCGTCGAGTCGATTTTGGGACCTCACGGTTTTGGAAGCAGAAATCACAGGGGACAAATGCTGGTTAACTTCCTCGAGAAAGAGGGGCTATTTCTGATGAATTAGTTTTTCGAAAAGAAGCCCCAAAGGAAGTGGAGCTGGCGCAGTCCCGATAACGAAACAAAAAACGACATTGACTTCATCATAACGGACAAAAAAGCTTGAAGCGTCAGTAGCCTAATGGCAGGGTGCGGACCGCGAACTCGAAAGTTCGTAGGTTCGAATCCGCCATTCGACTACTGTCGTGAACCACTTCTAACACAAGCGTTTTAAGCTTACCAGAAGTGGCTAAAGGGAATATTAGTAATGTTTAATAACATTACTAGTATTTTTTTTAAATAATATAATATAACAAAAAATAACAAAAGGCACATATTCAGAGATGTCTCAGTGATCAGTAAATTCAATACCGGAAGCGATCACCGCCTTATCCGAGGCACTCTGAATATCGATTTTACGCTTAAAAGGTCCCGATTGATGAAGTCAACCCTTCGACCAAATCTGCTTCAAACCGTGACTGGTTCCCAATGCTTCCAGCTGGAACTTAAAAACCGATTGAGACCCACGTTGGATATTGACGGGGACCTTATCAGTGTGATCAAAATCTTAAGGGATGAGGGCAACAGGTTTTGTGGCAAGCACAAGGCTTGATAAATTTAGTATATTTTCGTGTAATAGAAATATTTATGCAATACCACTTCAGTGCACAGAGGACACATAGCGACCGACATGCAGCTTCTACAATAAAGTCACCAGATTCTAAAAATGGAACATCCGTCCGTAAACATGACAGCGCCAAGGAGTATGATTTAGGTAAGATCATGTTAATAATATCCTTATCATCTTTATGGCTATCATCATCATCATCATCATTACAGCCCTTCACAAGTCCACTGCTGAACATAGGCCTCCCCCAAAGAATGCCACAAAACACGGTCCTGAGCCACCTGCATCCATCGACTTCCTGCATGTCTTACCAGGTCGTCACTCCATCTCGTAGGGGGACGCCCTACACTTCGCCTACCGGTACGAGGCTGCCACTCGAGAACCTTTCTTCCCCATCGGTTGTCGGTTCTTCGAGCTATATGGCCGGCCCACTGCCACTTCAGCTTACTAATCCGTTGGGCTATGTCGGTCACTCTGGTTCTACTGCGGATATCCTCATTCCTAAGTTTATCACGCAGAGAAACTCCGAGCATAGCCCTCTCCATAGCTCGCTGAGCGACCTTGAGCTTCCTCATCCGGCCAGCAGTGAAGGACCACGTCTCAGTTCCGTAAGTCATCACTGGCAACACGCACTGGTTGTACAATTTCGTTTTAAGGTTTTGAGGTATGTCTGACGAGAAGATGTATCGTAGCTTCCCGAACGCTGCCCAGCCGAGTTGAATCCGTCGATTGACCTCTCGGTCGAAGTTGGACTTACCCAGTCGGACTATTTGTCCCAGGTAAACATACTCGTCAACAACTTCGAGCTTAGTGCTCCCAACAACTACCGGCACAGGTGTGACATGGACATTAAACATGATCTTTGTTTTGTCCATGTTCATCTTAAGACCTATCCGTTGGGAAACACTATTGAGGTCATTGAGCATAGTGCTTAGGTCCTCCAGCGATTCTGCCATAAGGACTATATCGTCGGCAAATCGAAGGTGAGTGATGTACTCGCCATTGATGTTGATACCGTATCCTTTCCAGTCCAGAAGCTTGAAAACGTCTTCCAATGCAGCGGTGAAGAGTTTCGGGGATATGACGTCACCCTGTCTTACACCTCTCTGCAATTGGATAGGTTTCGTACTCTGGTTCTGTACTCGGATAGCCATCGTAGCCCTACTGTACAAGCACTTCAACACTTCGATATACCGACAGTCAACTTGGCACCGCTGAAGGGACTGCAGCACCGCCCAAATTTCGACGGAATCAAAGGCTTTCTCATAGTCCACATACGCCAGACATAGTGGCAAATTGTACTCTTCGGACTTCTGTACAACTTGCCGAAGGGTATGTATGTGGTCTATGGTGCTAAAGCCCTTTCGGAAACCGGCTTGTTCGGGAGGCTGGAAGTCGTCAAGTCTGCGCGCGAGACGATTCGTAATGACTCTCGAAAACAGCACGTAGACGCGGCTCAGAAGGGAAATCGGTCTGTAGTTCTTCAAGAGAGCGTTGTCACCTTTCTTGAAGAACAAGACCACCGCACTTCTGCTCCACGCCTCCGGTGTAATGCCACCATGGAGGACGGAATTAAAGAGCTTCTGAAGGACTTCAAGTACCGGTCTTCCACCCGCTTTCAGAAGCTCCGCTGTAATTCCATCCTCGCCTGGGGCCTTACCGTTTTTAAGGTGCTGGAGAGCCATCCTAATCTCGCTCAGACTGACATCCGGGATATCTTCGGAATAGTGTCGGATGAGACTCGCTCTTGGATCGTTACTCACACTTGCGTGTGGCTCCAACGATGATGTGTACAGCTGCCCATAGAACCTCTCAATCTCACTCAAAATCTCAGGTGTCCCGGAAACGATGCTGCCACATTCTGTCTTCAGCTTTGACAGTTGGCTCTTTCTGGCAGACAGATCTCTGGCAAAGACTTTGGAGCCTTGGTTCCGCTCGATCGCTTCTTCAATACGAGCTGTATTGAAGTTGCGTAAGTCCCGCCGCATGCATTTGGAGATCTGTCTGTTCAGATGCCTGTATGCTGTCAAGTCTGTTGAAGAATGTAGCTTCATCTCCCGTCTAACAGCCATGAGATTAAGAGTGTGATCGGAGAGTTTTTGTGTTCTTCTGCGGCGGGTCTTGCAGAACTTAGCTCCGACCGCATGGACAGTTTCCACGAGCTTGTCATTCATATCGTCCACTTCATTGCAGTCTTCCAGGCACTGAAAACGGTTTTGTAACTCGAGCTGAAAGGTTTCGGGACTTTGGAACAGAGCACGAGGGGGACGGAGCGTTGACTTCATTAGACGAGACCTCTCCAACTTAACGTTTAGGTTCAGTGTGCCTCTAACCATTCGGTGATCGCTACCAGTTTTCACCCTCGCGATCACGGAGACATCACTGAACAGTTGTCGTCTGGTCGTCATAATGAAGTCAATCTCATTTTTTGTGGAACCGTCGGGGCTCGACCAGGTCCACTTCCTGTGGGGCCGCTTCTGGAAGAAAGAGTTCATCATAAAGAGTCCCTCTTTCTCCATGAAGTCGGCCAGCTGCTGGCCCCTTGTGTTCCGTTGCCCTATTCCAAATTTCCCTACTTTCAGCTCACCGTTCTCTCTTGTGCCTAGTTTTGCATTGAAGTCTCCCATTAACACCGTATATTGGGTTTTGGAGGAATGCATGGCTCTAGAGATATCCTCATACATTTCCTCCACCTCCTCATCGGGGTGTGCCGAGGTTGGTGCGTAAACCTGTATTACCTTCAGCGAATACCGTTTGGTGATTCTGAGTGTAAGGTACGCAACCCTCGTCGACACACTCCCGATCTTTACAACGTTGTTAACGAGAGACTTGTGGACGATAAATCCGACACCTCCTTGGGACAGATGGTCGCCCTCCCGGTGATAGAGCAAGTTGCCGGATTCGAGGATTACCGTGTCCTCCCCCTCTCTTCGGACTTCGGATAATCCTATAATATGCCAGCGCAACTTGTCTGTCTCTTCTTCCAGCTCCACGATCTTCTCGTCAGTCCTCAGGGTGCGTGCGTTGTACGTTGCCAGGTCGAGTCGTCTAAGGTGGCAACCGAACCTCCACCGGAGATTCTTAGCACCCCCTGCCCCGCCGTTACCATGGTCGCCACCGTAGCCAGGAATAGCGGGGCCGCCGGGGACTGGGGGCCGTTTTTTTGTTACTGTCATTCATAGGGGGGTATTTGCCATAGTTGCCACGCTTGGCGAGCGGGTTGGCAACCGCAGTTTTTTTATTGTAATTTGGCTATTATCAGGAAGATGCTGCTGCCCATCTCCTGCCTGTTTCCCTTTGTCGCCTTTTACGACACCCACGGGAGGATATGGGGTAGTGGATATTCTTGACCGCCACTACACGGCACAATTGTAAAATTTATGGCTATACAATTGTAAAATAACTTTATGAATATGCACTATATTATATTCTTAGGTTTTTAGATGGAAAACATCACCTTTTTACGGCTATTACTTATTTATGTTTTTTTTTCTATATAAAACTGAATTGACAAAATACCTAACAGCCCACCTGATGGTAAAGTGGCTATTGCAGCCCATTAACATCTGAAACCAACTTCAAACAAAGAAGGCGGAAGACCCGCTGTCACCTCTGCCTCTGAAGTCTAAGATGGAACACATCACAGCCTGTAATTCTATTGACTCTATATCAGACCGACACTGTGGTGCTTGGCGGCAGAAATAGAAATAGGCAGCAGAAATACATGGCAGAATTCTAGGATTCCTAGGCAGAAAAGAAGTTCTACTACTTAGTAAAAATGTCTATCAAACAGTTTAAACATAGAGCATCACAGGCCAACGACGGATCTGTAGGGAGCAGCCTTACGCAGGCGTAGCCCACTGTCAAAGTATAAGTCCACGCGGTCCTGTGTGTACAATAAAACTATTTGCAGTCGCACTGCTCACTAGACAAAACCTAGTTGCGCAGCTGAATAGCCGTCCTACAAAAATGGTGAAATGTTTTTGTTTTGTTGCAAAAAAAGATCTGCCACTTGAAATTTACAAAAATATTACCTTGCATATATTAGTAATTTTTAGTCTCATTATTGCTATTTACTTCTTTTTAAACTTAAAAATTACAATAATAACGGTCGTGTTGTTTTGGATTTGTGTTGGTAAACAAACAAGCAGTGCGTTCGCCCTCATACAAAATTCAGATTGGTCGAGTGACTGATACAAGTCTGTATCCAAGTTATCGCTGTCATCGAACGATACTGCTATTTATGTTAAATACTGTTACAATGTTTTTTGTTTTTATTTTGTTTTAATTGTTATGTATGAACTTCGTAATGAATCTACAAAGTCTATTATTTATAGAATAAGTATGATAAGCGAGCACACAGCTCACCTGATGGTAAGTGGATGCTGTGGTCCATAGACATCTACATCTATCGTCGAATAAGAATCAAAATGCAGATGCGTTGTTACCCGTGAGGACTAATTTAGTCTAGATAGATAGAATGCCTCGTATCCAGTAAAAAGGGTATCCGGTTCACTCATCATACAAAACACAGCAGCATTGATTTGCTATTTTACGCTGGTATTCTGTGAGAGCGTGGTCCTTCCCCGATCAAGCCGACCCATGTGTGCTACAACCATAATATAATGCAATTTTGCTCTACCACGTAAATGAAGGCATTTCGTAACTCTCGCTTCCTGAGGACAAATATCTTTTCTTTCAGAAAATTGTACAAATTGTTTGCCTAGCGAAAAAATTGATAAATGGTTGGAGCTTGGTTTCGGAAGATGACATATGGTTTCTAAGTACAGATATTGTAATATTTAAAAGGGTGGTTGAGCAGTGTGAGATCTTGGGTTGTTATAAAGTAATAATGGCGAAAATCGATTGATGGGTCGGGTTTGTTACTATTTGAGTTTCATCATCAATGTTCAAAGCTCTTCACGATGGACAACCGCTGTCACTGATATACCGTATCTCAATATGCTATAATGTGTAATTCACCATGGAGTGACCACCAAACAAACTGTTAACATTACTTTTCTATGGGTAACCTTCAGTTTGGGGAATTATTCTGGTATTTAACGTGGGTTACACTTACACCCACTCCGTTATAACGTGGGATCTTGATAAAGAATCTACTTTACATCACATATCACAATTTAGTCCAAAACCCCTATACTATATCAATCTCTGCAGCGTTACAACCACGTTGGACCTCATATATTCCAAAATTATCTACTCTGACTTTTGCAATTCATGTGCCAAAACAGTGAAAGCATCCACGACTTTTTTGCCACCAGGACGGCGCCACTTAGAAATAGGTGAAATATTTGATAGATTTCATAGTTAGGCTAGCTACGTTAATTTGTGAGAAAAGTGTAGAGACTGAATTATTGATTATATTTTATATTAATTATGGATAAAGTAAAATACCGATATTGTCTAATATGAAGAAGAAGTAAAAAAATGAAAAAATGTGTAAAAAAATTAATAAAAACTTAATTAAAAATTTAGTACTGCCGACTTCAATATAAGTTATTAAGAATAATTAAAAAACTATTGGTCTGACCTTGATCAAATTCATATGGGACCACACGAGAAGTACCAGCTTTCAAATAAAAAAGAATTATCAAAATCAGTTCAAGCAAAGAGTTATGAGATAACACACATAAAAAAAAACGTATAGTCGAATTGAGTACCGTCTCCTTTTTGGACGTCGGCAGAAAATAAATAAAATAATCGAGAAACTTTTAATTATATCGCAACTTTACAATAATGACGACACTGTGTGACCATCTGCGTAACAAATAAATTCACCTTAGTCCCAACCAGCGACATCTAGCGAGCGTAAGATTATTAACCCTCATTGAAAGTCAAACAATAGGATGTCATAAATTTTTTGACTTTGAAATATAATAGTTTTGTGTAAAATAAGTTTTAATCAAGAATCTTGGACCATCCAGATTTTAATTCAAAGTGGCCATTACAAAGTGACTCATGTTATCTGTTTTCGTATATCTAAAAATATAAACTCATTAAAAATTTATGTAGCATTGGTCACTATTGTTGTTATTAAGGATAAGTATTAAATACAACATAATATTATATAATATGTTGTATTTAATACTTATCCCTACCCTTGGCAAGTAAGTGCTTTTTTAGATTATATATATTTTTACAAAAAATTCAATGTAACGGTGATCTTTCTATTTAAATCAATAGTATTCAGGAGTGAAAAATTCTGATTTTTGAGAATTTTTCTTTACCCAAAATGCTGCTGTCTTAAATCTGCCGCCAGGAGGCCCCCCACGCCCTTGTACCGCCACCGTTAACTTCTTAATATTACAGTCATTCAAATGTTTACTTGTTTCAGGAAGTTTCGATGTGTACAATATAGAAACTGCATTGCCCAAAATAGATTTAGATGCGATAGAAAATCATTTAAAAGCCGCAAAGGAAGCTGAAAGACGGGTAAGTCTGTGAAAAGGGATAAATTAAAGTTCCTTTTCTTTTTTGAGTACTTTCCTCATGAATGGTAATAATTTATCAAAATACCTAATTATTCTTAATACGTCTTTGATTATTGGATTCTCTATCATTCTCTAAAGGACACCTCGAAAAACTATAATTTACTAAACAAACGCAACGTAATAAAATTACTAAGATGATCACGCTATAAAATAATTAATAACGACCTTTCGAAAAATCTTTTGAAAAGGTCTCTCTTTATTCGTTACCCAGATCACGGATATTATATATTTATATTATGTTTATCTTCAGCAGACGGCTTTTAAAGAGGGGGGGGGGGGGGGGGAGTTACCTCCTAGTTACAATACGTTCGATTATTACACTAATTACACCTATGATTTAAATCATAACCAGATTCAAGTTTATATGTACTTTTAAATTTTAGCGCGTAAAAAAGTAACGGTAACTATAACAGTATGAACAAATTCACGTTCATTCATTTGTTGTATCCACGCATAACAGTAATTATAATTGCCATTATGCAGCAAGTCCAGCTTTCTACGGTGGTTCAACGTCAACGTAGGCGCAAGGCACGTCAATTGCCTTTATGCACAAGTCATTTCTTGTGGTTGAGGCGGTGCACGTTGTGTGACGTTTTCTTTGTTGTTCCATTAAAAAAACAATTTTGTTTTGTAATTGTAAAGTGATGGCGTCAATGCCGTATTTTAATTCGGAACAAAGACATTATAAAAAAGATACTAGATTTCTCTTGGACTTATACACCATTACTTACGATAATCATGAATCCGTCGATAATATATGTTGCCTTGTAAGTTGTCTTCATATCCTAGAACCTATAATATTATACTTTTGTCTTTTGTGTAGGTCTCTCCATGAGAGTAGTTTATTCCTTGTATTTGAGTTTATCCATTTTTACCATAAAGCACAAAGTGAAAATAGAACACAAGATTGTCGCGAATTGTCCTTGTCCTAAATGTCAAATTATGACAGGACAGGATTGTTGCTTTTTCTTTTCTTGTGTTTACATAAATATTCAATTTTTATTTTACATCTTTTAATATTTACCTAAGATACTTTACTGAATAAAGTTGTGCCATAATTACAGATTTTTGCCAAAAATATAAGACTGATTAGTATTAAGATGTTTGAAGGGTTCATAAGTAATATTAAAAGAAAATTTAGTAAAACATCTGATGAAATTTCTGACGTGGAAGTTGAGAAAACTGGCTATAAACGACGTTTAAACATATTCCAAAAGAAATTTAATAAATTTGATAAAAATGCTGCGACAGTAAACAATTATTTTGATGATCCAGTTTTAAGTCCTAGGGCCCTAGGGACAGCTGAATATGCTAAAACTGAAATAGCCTGGCCGATTATAACAGATAGTAATCCTAATATTTTAGACAAATTTACAAAAATAATTACTATAACAGATGATACCTCTTGTAATAATAAAGTATGAATAATTATATTATTGTGATGTTTATAAATAAAACTTATACATTTATAATGTTAAATTGGATTTCAGAAACGCAATGACAGGGAAGAAATTAGAAAACGATTGGCAATGGGTGCTGATAATGATGAATATTACAGTTTAGGACACACAGATAGACCTGGCAAGAAACCGAGTCTCCATTCACGTCTACAAAATGGTAACATGTACATCTACCCTTAAATTTGTGTGGGTTGGGAGTTTTCGAAGTGTACTTTGTGTGATTGGTGTGATGTTATATATAATTTTTGGTCTATTGGAAGAAATTAACTTCTTAAGTTGGCTTCAAAATAATATCTACCTGATTTTACTAAATAAATGTTAGGACTTTAAATATACAAATGTAACTTTTATAGTGTTTTCATGTGTGTTGGGTTGTTTGTCTCATTCCTTACATCATAATATCATTTTTAACATGTGTTTATTTTCATTCTATTCATTTTGTTTTGGGATAACTAAGTGTATTGGTGTGGTCATACAGGGAAGAACCTACAAATTTGTTTCATGAATGAGACAGCATCAGATAATGAATATCAAGCTTCTGACATAGAGAAAAACTTAAATTGTAATAAGAGTTTATCCCGTTCAAGTACTTTTGACAAAAGTGGATACAATCATCCATATCAAACAAGACCTCTGTCAGTAAATATTTTAAAACATGAAAAGAGTAGTATTGTCCAGTGTGGTAAGTAAAAAGGCTTGTTTCATCATAATATTACAGACATAAACATTGCATTGTTGGTCACTATTTATCATTTAATAATCATCACATTATTCATTGTGTTATGTGATACATTTTTTATTCTATTTATAATGTCTGAACACAATTTTTACCATTACTGTTACAGCCTATTAAAGTCTGCTGCTGAACATAGGCATTCCCCATAGATCGCCTCATAGAGGGGATATTTACCATAGGCCGTGCTTGGTGAGTGGGTTGGCAACAGCAGTTTTTTTTTTATATTTAGTCATTATTAGGAAAATGCTGCAAGAAGAATGGTAGTGTAAGAATATCCACTACCCCATCTCATCACGTGGGTGCCGTAAGAGGCGACAGAAGGAAACAAATCAGGAGATGGGTCTTCCTAATAACGACAATTTATACACACATCAACTATTGTAGTCAGTAATAAAAGAGATTTATTATTATTCTTCAGGCGTTAGTAATGGAAAATGTGCTTACCCTTTTCTCCTTCTTAATCAATCTGCTAAAGTGTTATGCTGGACATGAGCTTCTCCTCTTGGAAGGTTTTATCTTAATTGCAGTGCTTGCTGACATTAGGCATCTTTAATGCTTGCCTGTCGTTAATCTATATATTTTACTCCTAGCATAAATGGGATGTTTATACTGCCATCTTTTGGAAGCAATGTGATTTGTCTAACATGGGAAATGCATTTAGTCACCTCTTACAACACCAAAACACACAGCACAGCCTAATTTATAGTTATCGCATTTGATAATGTCAGAAAAGCTACAAGCAATGAATTGCTAGGGTAGTGAGAATGGGAAGTAATATAAAAAAAAATGATTTTATTTTATTTCACGTGTAAATAAATTCCTGTGTATGTGAAAACTGATGCAACTTTCACATACACAGGAATTTGTTATATTTAAATGAGTAAGACCCACAGTTTTTTTGCTCTGCCTCGCCTCACACCATACTGCACGGTTGCCATGTTAGTAGCCGACACCGACTGTTAGTAGTAGTTAGAATGTGCCAATGGGATAAAATAATGGACTCTTTTTCACTACCATCACTAACCAAGATTAAGGTCTTATCTTCGCTTTTATAAATTCATATTTTCTTCAAACATCTGCAATCCTCTTTGATATATGAAATTATAACTTGTCAATATACTCTTACAGTTCCTAAGTTACGTCCATCGTCTTTCACACTGAAAACATCAAAATCATGTTCTACACAATCATTAAACCAAATTGATGTCAAAGAAACTGATTTCTATACATTGCAAGCAAAATTGCAAACTGAGGCTAGGATAGCATTGGCTCAAGCAAAGGAGTTGGCTCATATACAGATGGAGGTATGTTTATTCAAAATAATACTTGTGTAATAAGTTGTCAAGAAAAACACAAAAGTGATTTATTATTACATGTAAAATTACATATTCATCAAAATATGCTGATTACACTTTGCAAATGTTCTGATATTTACCTTTACATAGTCTGACAGTGGATAGGAGCAAATTTACAATACCTGGCAGTTGTAAAAGTTGGTCAACATGTTTTGGCAAGTTTTCGACTTTTCGGTAGAGAACAGATAAGCATATGTACATACATATATAAGAGAACATGTTTTTCCGTAAACAACATTAAGTGAAGATGCATAATATTCGATATCAAATTAACAGATATTCAAACTTTTGTTACACTTATACAGTTATCAACACTTTACTAATGAATAATTTCGAAACAACCTATACTAAAAACTGCAAAGGAATAGCTCAAATGTCGAGGTCATGGATAATAAGACTTCTTAATAAAATTTAAGTGAAAAAGAAAAATGTTGTATTAGTAGGAAAAACTTATGCGACATTGGTAAATTCCTAAATACAATAGTGCTTTCTGTCGCATGGGTGGCTCATCCAGGGAATGTGGACTCCAGTGTTTTTCCTGTGACTCGAATGTGTATCAATATCAACTGCATTTCTGCAACACTCATGTAATTGAGGTATGAACTGATTTGTGATGAGAGTTAAAATTTTGTACTTACTAGTGTTTCAATAACAATTTGATAATTGAATCTAGTTAAAGGACTAGACTAACTGCTGAAAAAGATGCTTTTCAATTTGATTAGTGTCAGTTTTTTATTATTTTTTATTAATGTACCTATTTATAACCCAACAGACACTTTCTTTGTTATGTAATTTGTATATTTGTTTGTGGTGTACAATAAAGTATATTCATTCATTCTTTTGTATTGGAGTGTTGGATACATGGTTACATGTTACAGTATGTTGGCCAAGTATGCTACATGATTTTATTCAATGAAGAATGTCATCAGAACGAAGCACTTGTAAGGTATCAGCACCGAGTCAGATAGTTGGTTGTGTTTTGCCCTCGTGCCTCGGAAAACTCGTAAAACTGTTCATCCTGCTTCTCTTGGGTTTCCGTCCTATTGGACTATGAGAGTGAGTGTATGAAGAGTGCACCTGTCCTTGGCATACACTCAAGCATTGTAATCTTGTTCTGACCAGATGGCTAATCTCCGATGAAACTGCCTTGATCGAAATTCGGTCTGGAGGACATTGGTAGAGTTTGAAAAACTATGAATTTGCAATATTTTTCTCATGTTTCGAGTTTTATTAATAGATGCATAGCGAATTGACACTAAAAATTGTATAATTTCATGAATAATAGAAAATCAAGTTAAATAAGTTGCGCTTAAACTTCTATGAATATTGATATTAGTACCAGCTACACAATTTTTACAAATAATTATAACTATATATTGTCATAGCTAATCAACTTAATTAGGATAATATTGTTGGCATTTATACCTATCAGTGTAGTATGCCACCTACATTGCTTATTGCATATTGACTCTATGCAACACTGGGGCAACAACAAATAGTGTAGGTATATCTATACAAATAAATAAAATTGAAGTGTCTATTTGTAATGTCAAAACAACAGCTTTTTACTAAATGCATATGAAAGTACATACGGTACTTATAACAATTACACAATTTTTAAAATTTTTGTCTGTCTTTCTGTCTGTCTGTCTGCCTGTTTGTTCCGGCTTATCTCCGAAACGGCTGAACCGATTTTGACGAGACTTTCACTGGCAGATAGCTAATATTATAAGGAGTAACTTAGGCTACTTTTATTTTAGAAAAAGAATTAGGGTTCCGCGCAATAAAATTAAAACCCATGAAATCTAATCATAATAAATTACACGCGGGCGAAGTCGCGGGGAACAGCTAGTATTTTAACATGTACAAAATTTTAAAATTAAGCATTATTACATATGTATTCAAGTGTTATATTCCTTGAATTGACTTTTTGCAGAGAGAAAGACGGAGTCGTGCAATTTCGCCTGTAACAGAAATGCTTCGCCGTAGCATGGAGAAAGCAAACGCGCCTTTAGCTCCGGACAGGCGTCGTGTTTCGCGTCAGTTACTCACCGACATGAATATTGCACAGTTACAGGTAATTTATAGTAAAATATTGTAAATATTTATATTATTTGTTATTAAAAATGCTGAAAGGTTATGTTATGTCGTTGTTGTGAAAGCAGAATTAAATTTGTAAGAAAAATTGATTTTATCAAAAAAAAAGTATGTGATTAAGAACTATGGTAATAAAATTTATAGTATGAAAATTTTAATAAACATTTAAATTTAAAGTTATTAACATTGAACATCATTGGCACATACCATATATATTAGGCGGTATTATATTTTAAAAATAGGAAATCCGGTTCTCATATAGATCCATAATTAAAATGTGCATTATTATTAAAATGACATTTTTTACTAAAGTGCACAACCTTCAATCCACACCTAATGACTTGATGAATCATACTCGTACTAACACTCAGTAACAATGGACATTGTGGATTTAAACTTTTTTTATTCAATTATATATTTTATCAGTTTACAATGTAGCCATACAAATATGACTGTGTGTATGTACTTGTAATAAAACTTTGTTCTTATTATAACAGCTTTATTGTTTGATATTATGGAATAAATATTTTTAAACAACCTGTTCATTTTGGTTGTTAATTCTTTGAAGTCTGCTTTTAATTTTTTTTACATGTACAGATTGATAAAAAGAAGTTCGTCAAACCAGCACACAATTCACCTATTAAGCCCTATAGATAATAATACCTTCCTATCCTCAAAAAATCATTATAACTAAAGATTGTCGTAAATTATCACTTGCTATAGGAATACAACTATACAATGAGTAAATTGCAGGTAATCGTAAACGAGTTACATTCTCAAATAGAGACATTGAACGACACGCTCGTGAAACTATTGATGGCGCGCGACGAATTGCACATGGGACAGGACTCCATGCTCGTTGATATTGAGGACCTCACCCGATATCTGTAAGTCCTATAAAGCTCCTATTATCAATCTTAATTTAAAAATCTTCCCATCTGTTTGTTAAGCCATAGCTCTTCTATTCAATTTTAATTTTGGTAATTTAGCAAAATGGAAAAAATTATCATTCATTTATCTTTTATAATAAAGTAAAAATAAATGCAATTTACGGATTTTTTCAAAGACTTCTATGTATACTAATGGATGTGCTTTATGGCCTTAGTACATTGCGCACTAACTTACGGTCAATTCTCCGTTACTCCTTTAGTTAACTGTAAACTGATGAAAGGACTAGTTTTTTGTTTTGTAAATTGCGAGCGTTGTTTTCGACAATCTGACACTGATTTTCTACCGACTTCAAAAAGGAGGAGGTACCCAATTTGACTGTATGTTTTTTTTATGTGTGCTACCTCATAACTTTTTTCTGGGTGAACCGATTTCAATAATTCTATTTTTATTTAAAAGCTGGTGCTTCTCATATGGTCCCATATAAATTTGATCAAGGTCCGACCAATAGTTATTCTTAATAATTTACATTGAAGTCGGTTGTACAATTTTTTTTAAAATTATACTCAGATGTACAAAATTAATTTTAAAGGGTGGATTGAAAAGTACTCGGCCTAACCAAGAAAATAAACAAATACTAAATCAGTTATATTTTTATTTTTCTACATAATCACCATCAAGTTCAATACACTTTTGCCACCTCCCCTTCCAAGCATTTAGACCGTTGAAAAAAAATGATTCTTCCTTAGAGTCAAAATATGCGTCTACAGCTGCTTTGACCTCGTCGTTTGTCGAAAATCTTTGACCTCCCAAGTGCTTTTTTAGGTTAGGGAACAGAAAGAAGTCTGATGGTGCCAGATCAGGTGAATACGGCGGATGCGGTAACAGTTCAAAGCCACAGTTGTGAATTTCAGCCATTGACTGTACTGATGTGTGAACACGGACGTTATCTTGATGAAACAGGACTTTTCTTCTGAGCATTCCTCGACGTTTTTCTTTTATTTCCTCTCGTAAACGACGTAGTAAGGTGCAGTAGTAATCAGAGTTTATATTCTGACCCCTTTCAAGATAATCAATCATAATCACACCTTTCGAGTCCCAGAATACTGAAGCCATCACCTTATTTGCCGACAAAATCGACTTAGCCTTTTTAGGGGGTGGTGAACCAGGTCTTCTCCACTGTTTTGATTGTTGTTTTGTTTCCGGTGTACAGTAATGAACCCATGTTTCGTCCGTAGTAACAAAACGGTTCAAAAAATCATCTGCATCGGCTTCAAATAACTCCAAACAGTCGCGTGAAATAGTCAATCGCGTCCTTTTTTGTTCAACTGAAAGCAGTCGCGGAACCCACCTCGCAGACACCTTGTGGAAACCCAACTCGTTGACAATGATGTTTTGAGTTCGTTCATAAGAGATGCCTATAATCTCGGCTATCTCTCTAATTTTTAATCTGCGGTCTCCCATTATTAAATCAAGTACTTTTTTAATATTTTCGTCAGTAGTTGACGTCGAAGGCCTTCCAGAGCGGGGTTCATCTTTCACACTCTCTCTACCACGCTTAAATTCTGCTATCCATTTTTTGACGGATGAATATGACAGAGCACAATCGCCTAATGTACTGACCATGTCATCATGGATGGCTTTTGATGATAGCCCCTTCTTATGGAGGTACTTAATGACGGCACGCTGCTCGATTTGCTCCATTCGCGGAAATTATGTCCGATTACTTTGTTAATAAATTTATAAAATCACAACTAATTATCGCACACGTTTCGAACTTCACACAATGAACTAGTCTGAACTGAACTAAATAATGTGGATAGATTTGATTTTTAGAATTGAATGGATCTGTGTTAGGCCTAGTACTTTTCAATCCACCCTCGTATATTCAGATAAGTATGTAAGTTTATTACGTATTTGCCTAAAAACAGTAACTGTCGTAAATGGAAATGCAACTGCGTGGCATATTTACCGTGTCACCCTATTATGTTACCCTATTACGCTTGTTAGCCTGTTACCCGCCCGCAACCGGGCGCTTCACAGCTGTAAAACAGTGTTTGTTCTGGATTGCCGGTCCAGCAATAAACATGCGTCTTTAGATTTTTCTTTTGCTCTCTATATTATAATCCAACATTTTTTGAAGTAGTAAACAAGTTACAGCAGTAGTTAAAATTGATCTAAAGCGCATTGGATTTGGTCTCAGTTCAAAATAATTTTTTACTGAAAATTGTCTATGACTATTCTGCTAAGCACTAATTTGACAAATGTTGAATATATTTTTTTTGCAGAGGTGTCAAAGAGCAGACCAAAAAGACAAAGGGTACTTCCACAAAATCAGGTGTAAGGCGGCTCACATCATTAGTGCACAAATAAGAACGCTGTATTAACCAAACCTTCAAGATATTGAATTGAGCCTTATCCATTCTATGTCCATTTGTACATTGTATGCTCAGCTTAAACTAAACCCTATGATGTGAGACAATTTTCTTTGCTGGTATTACATTTATAATTTAACATAAATATTGTTCCAATACACATAAGAACGTGTTTATGGTAAACTTTGAACGTATTTTGTCCATAATGATAATAATGTTTTGTCATAATATTGTTGTATAATTAAATGAAAACGTATAGTAATTAATTAAAAATGTAAAAAAATCTCTTTATATAATCGAAAACACTCGTTGTTATTGTGATTATTACCTACTTCAATTTATATATTTTCTTTATATTTGTATAAAGGGTTTAATACTATCTCCGTCGCATTTTCTGTCTATTTATATAATTATATTAGATTTAAAGATAAATGTTCACATACCCGCTTCAAGATAGAATTTTAGCTCATTTAGATGTAGGCATTTCATTGCATATTAAGAAAAATGAATATTTTTTCAATATAGTGCTCATTATTATAAAAATTTCGCACGAAGCGGGTACTCTTTAAGTATGAGTCGTAAGGGAAACTATAATATACAAATTATGCTCACACTCTGTATTGACATCATAGTAGTGACCACTTAGCGCAATATAGTTAACAACACAGAGCCTTACTAACTTACATCAATATAATAATATTTTTATTATTTCTTAATATCCTTTGATTTCTTGCCAGTTATGGGTTTTCACCTTATAAGAAATTATTTCAATTTTTTTTAAATTTATAAATACTGTTATTTAAAAAATGCATACCAAAAGGTCTGTCAATATTTTGTAACATAAAATTTATTTATAAAACTAAATTTACGAATATATTTCAAAACATGTACTATAGACCCATAGGCAGTGTACTGTAAGTGTAAAGCAAAGCTCATTAAATCAATGGAAAGAAAATCTTGCTTGAAACAATTCCACGTATTAGGCTCATAAATTCAACGTTAAAAAGCGTATTTAAGTAATGGGAGCTAGAAGGGTTGATATTAAGGGATATTATTATAGTTTTTACTGTTGTTTACAACACGTTTTTATTGCCTTGATTTGTAACTTCATAATTTTGTAACAGTGTATTTAAATATTGCAAGTCAGTTTTCATTCATATTGCCAAATCAATTATGAACTGATTACGAATTTGCAATTGAATGCGATTCTGATCATACATAGAATAATAATTCAAAATGGCGACAATTTTTTACTGTGTTGGAAACACATTCTGAAGGATTAAAGTTTTTAGTCTAGATAGTTAATCGGGAAGTTACCTTAAATTCAGTTCGAAATTTGTATCGAACGGACAAACAAACAAACAGACTGACAAGAAAGTGAGTTTATATTGCATTGTCGTCCATTTCTGAGATAATACCTATTTAAAGTTTTAAGCTTCTATATTATCGGGAAGTTACATGAAATTTTTTGATGGTAAATTTCATAATGTATACGGAACAGACAAGCAGAAGAAAGCAAGTTAATAATAACGTGGTAAAAACGGCACTATCTACAAAGCCTTGAGTCTATTATTTATTGCTTTTTTTTTTAATGATTATACATTAAATATGGTGGCTAATAATGGAGCCGGAAGCGTGTCTTTTTAATATAAACCTATCAAATAATTAATGCAGACACATATTTCGAAGGCAACAAAAACTATTAAATATATTTTTTTCTTGTTAAGTATCTAGAGTAGTTAAATTTTTAAAAGAGGGTCTTATAATTTTTTTCTTTATAGTTACTTCTTTATGTTAAAGTTTGATACCAGCGAGTTCCGTATTTTTGATGTTATGATATATTTTTAGAAGTATAAGTTTATTAGTTACCAGTGCCCTAAGCACAAATTATTGCCACTAACGTTTTCGTATCGTCATCGAATAAAACTGTATGGAAATATAAACAGCGTCCCAGACGATCATTGTTACGAACGAACTATGTTTTTGTAATACAAAGTCACTCAATTGCGATACGAATTCGATACGATTGTAAACTCATGCTCAGGGGCAGTTGTCTCAATTTAAATTGATTTGTGGTTGAAAGCAAACATTTACTATGGAGGAGTCTGATGATTAAATTATCAAACTAGTGTGTTCAATCCAAGTCGCCATAGTCACAAACGTTTAGTACTATTATCGAACTTGGTATCGACTATGGAAGTTGCCTCGAGTTATTAGGTCTAAACAGTTTCAGTGGAACTAGTTTGAACAGATTGATTTGTTAATCAAATAGTAGATTATAATCGGTGATGAAACGGTATACGTTTCATCACCGATATATTTGGACCTTTTCAATTGTTGATCTAAGTAAATAATCTATTATTTGATTAACAAAGTTTTTATTATTAAAAAAAAAAATTGAAACCGAAATCTATGACAACCGTTGGGTAAAGGGTTTGTTCACTAGTACACGAGCGTACCAAGTTCTACCTTGGCACTTGCTTGGATGCAGTAACACGTTTCTCTGTCGGATGTTACGATCGGTCTATTGGTTTAAAAAAAATCTTAACTACCTATAACGACTTAAAAAGCTTTCTTCTTCGACTTCATAGCTGAAAATCTAGATATAGACTTCTTATTTTGGAACCGGTATCTTAAAACAAATACCTTAAAGAGAATGGTACCCAAAAGTGGAACCCTAATTAAACTTAAATGAAGATCTCTTACATAATATTGAAGCTGTTCTTAATACCTGCTTTGAACTCATGCCGCCGGAATCGATCACTGACGACTGAATTTACTAGAAACCAATCAGGCAGTGGAATTATTGTCAACATTCACGCTTAAGGTTTTCGGCTCAACTGTAGGTCATGGCTTATAGTTCGTACCATTTGTTACATTCATATTGAACCACAATACATAGTGCAAATACAATTATACCAAATATTTAATGTTACTATTTTTTTTTACCAGTTTATTGTAATGAACGATCTCATACAAACTATTTTAAACCAAACTCTGAACTAATTGGTACAATTTTTAAATTTGTTCGCTTGGATATGATTAAGGCAGGGTAATTTGTTATTTATATTTGTTAATATCCTTAAATATAACATTCTTTATATACATTGTACTGCTTGTAAAGGCAAGTAGTGAGACTAAGACAAAATCATTGAAATTTACAGCAACAATTGATATTGTTATTGTTATCTGTAATGTATGTGTTACTTTTGGTAATGCTACCAAAATGATGTTGATCACCTTCTGCAGACTTGTAGGCCATCTTGCGCTAAAATAAATAACTTAAGGGATAATAATGGGGCCATCCTGTAAATCATCTTAAATGTATGATGAATAATAAAAAATATTTCTATTATAAACCATCAACTTGTAAAGTGACTTACTGATTGTCATTGTCTACAGCTAACGCTAGTAATGTTATTGTGATTAGGATCTAAATTGTGCCTACTATCCTGGAGCTTTGAAACATATTAGTTATAAATATTTTAGTTCCTAAGGTGCGGGTTTTTTATGTTTTACTTATTCGGTTAAACGTTTTATCACATACGTTTGTTATTTTTTAAATCTGTTCTATTTTTGTACCTACATCTTTCAATAGGTCTTTCACAAAGTTGTGTTTCGCCAGCATCGCAAAGTTGGCATTTTGATTTAAAAGCAATTTTGATTCTATTCATATTTTCAGAAAACCTGAATTTTGCATCTGCTTTGTTCTGAATAAGGACTTTATTTTTATTAGGGGCGCCTTGTCTTTGCCTATACTTGCAGCACCTAATTAGCACTTAATTCCTTGCTATTAATATTTATCTAATAACTTCATTGCGTTGCTAGCAACGCAAATTTCAACAGTTCGTTGCGGTGAAATTATCTAATTTTAAAACTTGACACCTAATTAGCACCTAAAAGCCCTTAATTTTGGGTTTTTATAAATGCAAATTCCTGACTTTGCGTTGCTTGCGAGACAGCTCTTTCACAAGCTTTGGATATTGAATTTGTGTTTTAGTAAATTAAATTGCACACGGTATTTCTTATGAAAAGTATTTAGTATGATAATATTTATATAACCCATATCATTCCATACGCATAGCATATTGTAAAATTTTAATAAGTACTTTGTAAATGAAACCCATTATAAGGTAACTAAGAGTTGTTAAAGTTTTTGCTTCATTCTTACCAATTTAAAAATTATATTTTAATGCATATATTATATTTGTAAACCTATTAAAACTTTTAATCACCTAGCCATAGGATAATATCCATTATTTAAAATTGAAAAATTATACTCTTTGCAAATAGTGTTCATATTAACAGTATACAATATTTAACATGCAACATTTGGGTTCTTTTTAAAGCAATTTTTTTGTTATTGAATAGGTCCTTCCGATTTTGTTAGTTTTCTACAATCCATTATTATCTTATAAATTTCAAAAATGAATCAGTTACAGAATGTTATATAATTGATATTATAAAAGATTCTTTATGCTTATTTTATGAAATATATATTTCTACTGACTGAAGGAAGTATAAAATTCAATTTTTATTTATTGTATAATTTATATGCCTATCTTAAAACCCATATTATAATCTCTTAATACATGTATAATAATATGCATTGGTCGAATCTAAATAAAAACGATATGGAAATGTCTATGGTTATTGTTAAAGAAGCAAATCTGGTTTACATAATTGTTTACTAAAAAATAATTTGTATCAGTATTCATAGTTATGCCTTAACTTTCATAATGAAATGGTTGTAGCGATTAATTGAGCTCGTTGTAAACCAGGTGAATGCGGTAAATGTAAAGACATGCTTGAATGTGCTTATTGACAAATTCTTACAGACATGTTGTGATAATTATCTACTATTGACGACTATTCCAAATAAACGTGAAGAAAGTGTTTGCATCGTTATTTTATTTCTCTCATATCAATAATATGTATATATTTTATTTCTCTCATATCAATATGTGCCCTTCAATCCATTATTGCATTGCACTGGAT